CTGACTGTGATCCTGTCTTGATGATTCTGTTCCAGCCACACTGGCCTCCTTACTGCACCCAGAACACACGGCTGCTCTTGTCCTAGTGCATTTGTACTGGGGTTCCTCTGCCTGGAAAGAACTCGCCACAAACAACTTCATATAACTCTTGGTGTTCTTGAGATCTTTCCTCAAATATCACCTTTTCAATGATACCTACATGAGTAAATGTAGCCTACATAGCCATCCTCTCTCTTCCCACACACTCTGCATGGCCTTCCCCACTGTATACTTTCCATGGCACTCACCACATTCTAACATGAGCACATCATTGTGTTACCAGACTGAATAATGGTCCTTAAAGATGTCCATATCCTGGCCTCCGGGAAGTATAGTATGTTATAGTCTAAAAGGATTTTATATGTGTGGTTAAACTTAGGATCTTTTTTTTTTTTTTTTTTTTTTAATAGAGGCATGTTTATTTATTTATTTATTTATTTGTTTGTTTGTTTATACAAGCACTGGGTACAGTCAGAAGCGCGGGAGGGTGAGAGAATTCACCAGAGCCAGAGCGGGAAGCAGAGCAGGCAGAAGGACTGAAGTACACTGCTGAGGGAGCAGCGGGCGGCAGGAGAGGTCTGCGCGCCATGTGGGACCCTCCTCCGGTGGCCGGGGAGCAGCCAGGGATCGAACCGGCGCCGCAGAGGCCACGGGCAGCTTCGCAACCCAGCGCTCAACCGCTGCGCCACCGGGGAGGCCCAAACTTAGGATCTTGATATGGGAAGATTATCGTGGATTAGCTGGGTGAGCCCAATGATATAGACAAAAGAGAAAGAAGACTGAGAAAGAAGGTAAGGTTAGAAGCAAAGTTCAGACAGAAGATTCTAAGTTTTTGACATTGAAGTTGAAGGAAAGGACACAAGCTAAGAAAAGGTGGGCATTGTCTAAAAGTTGAAAAAGTTAAGGAAATTAAATCTCCCCCAGAGTTTCCAGAGGAAACACAACTTATGGACACATCTTAGTCTTCTGACCTTCAAAACTGTAAGATAATAATTTTTTTTACTTTAATCTACCATGATAGTTTTTTACAGCAGGAAACCAACCCATTATGCTGAAAAAAAAAAAAAAAAACAACAACTAAAAAAACTACTCTGTCTCTCCTCAATTGGACATATACTCTACAAAGCCAGCAAATATTGTCTTGTTTTTAGTTCACTGCTATTCCTAAATGCAAAAATACTGTGTGCCAAATATCTGACATTTGGCCAATGTTATTTGAATAAAGAGTCAATGTAGGGCCTCCCCGGTGGCGCAGCGGTTGAGCGCTGGGTTGCGAAGCTGCCTGCGTCCTCTGCGGCGCCGGTTCGATCCCCGGCTGCTCCCCGGCCACCGGAGGAGGGTCCCACATGGCGCGCAGACCTCTCCTGCCGCCCGCTGCTCCCCTCAGCAGTGTCCTTCGGTCCTTCTGCCTGCTCTGCTCCCCGCTCTGGCTCTGGTGAATCCTCTCACCCTCCCGCACTTCTGACTGTACCCAGTGCATGTATAAATGAAACAAACAAACAAATAAATAAATAAAAACATGCCTCTATAAAAAAAAAAAAAAAAAAAAGAGTCAATGTAGAACACCTCCTTATTCTAGAGACATTATCTTTATTAATTTAGCCTCAGTTCAAATGCAGTTTTGTGGCCACTCTAGCTCATCACCATCTATTTTTCCTGTAAGTGCTGCTCTTCTCTCCCTCCTCTCCTCCCACAGCAAACCCCCTGCACACTACAGCACACAATATCACTTCCCTTTTTAGAAAAGAAGGGTTCTGGGTTTATGGCCCCCATATTCCAAACTGCTGCGAATTTTGAACTTTACTCAGCACTAGGATCACTACAGCTAAAGGCAGGTAGAGAGGACAGGTGAACAGAGAAGATAGAAACGTAATAGGAATTTATCTAAAATGAGAAATTATGGGATTCCTCCTTTCTGCTAATTCAGAATCTGGCATTAAAAAGATTGGAGAAAAGATGGAAGGAATAATCCAGGGAACTGCCAGGGGGGCAAGAGCTAGACCAGACTACACATCCTCCAACACCACACAGACTCCCATGTGTAGGTGCCACCCTGGGCCTTGTAGGGACAATGACAAGCTAACCACCTCTTGCTCTTGGAGATGGGGGCACACAGAGGAGGAGATTAGCACTGAACACAAAACAAGCATAATTCCTGATAAAAATAAATACCCAGAAAACGGCAGCTGAGGGCCTGAGTCTGGGCTGACTCAGCCACATGAAGTCCTTGCTGCCCAGGGTCCTGAAGACAGGACAGGCCCTGGTGGTGTCTGAGTCCCTGTGATCACAGGCCCTGCTGGGACAGGTTCTACTGAGGGACAAGGACAAAGGCGCAGAGAGATGACCCCTGAGGAGTGACCACGTCAAAGCCCACGACACACTGAGCACTGACTGGACACAGGCCCCGTCCCCCTCGGCTCCTCACAGCCTCTCCTGCACAGGCCTAGCACAGGAAACATTCAGATCCTGGATGGTTCTCAGTGTTTCCTTTCATTTCTCTAAAAATTTAATATTCTCTTCTTTAACCCAACAACCCCACCTTGTGACAAGGATCTGAAGAAACAAATGTATATTTACATTTTTTTTTTATTGTTGTGCTTTTCCTTTTTAATTGAAGGTCCCTTACTGGTCCTGCCTCCGTGAGTGGCCACGACCAAGGGAGGGGGGAGGGGAACCAGGCGGTGTGGGGAGTGGGTCATCTCTACAACATCCCATTTCTACACAGAACCAAACAGACAGCACAGGGTCGCTATTGTGGTTGAAAGGTGGCAGCACAGAAGGGGAGGAACAGTGAGAGCTTGGGGTATGATTAAAAAAAAACAAACCACAATACACCTCTTGCTGTTTGAGATGGGGGCAACCAGAGGAGATCAGAACTGAACACAAAACAATCATAATTCCCTTGGTGGGGAGGTGATCTGCTTAAACCCAAGAGGGGTCAGAAGATCAAAAGTGGTTTGGGAAGGCCAGATCTGTCGGGGATGGAGGGAGGAAGGTCTGGGGTTGGGGGGCTTTTGGCAAGAGGCAGAGGCATTGTCCTCCCCCTGCTGGGATTCCCTAGCCCCTCTGGTCTGGCAGGAAGGGGGCAGCCTGCAACCCCTGTGGGCAGGTCTGGGGCAGCCAGATGCTTTATGCAGTGGGGGTGGAAGGGGCTTGCTCTCCAGGGAGATGACAGTTACCCCCAGCTTCTCTGCCAGGGTATAGGCTTTTTTCTCTTTTTTTAAATTATGCATGCAAGAACCTGGTGCAGGCTAGAAGTGGGGAGTGGGGAGTGAGAGGATTCACCAGAGACAGAGTGGGGAGCAGAGCAGAACAGGTGGATCTACTGAAATACACTGCTGAGGGGAGCAGCGGGCAAGTCAGGAGAGGTCTGCTGAGCCATGTCTGTAGCTCCCTGGCAAGGAATCGAACTGCGCTGCTGTGGCTGCCAATAGCTTTATAGTACTGAGACAACGCCTTATGCCACCAGGGAGGCCCCAGCAGTTTGTAATTCATACTTGATCCAGGTCAGCTTCTCCTTGGAGCTGGCATAGATGATTTTGCACTTAAGGCTGCACACTCAGGGGCCCAGAAGCATCAGGGCCTCCTCCTTGCTCTCCTTGATCTCTTAGGTTGCATCACGGAGGGCACAGTCCTGGTCTGGCAGTATCTTGACAAAGGTGGATAGGGGTTGTTCATGGTCTGGCCCACACGGCTTACCAGGATTTCTTTGCCCTCTGGGATGATGTTCTTCCTCTCCTCACTTGGGCAGAAGAGCACCACCTTCTTGCGCTTCTCCACTACCTGTGGTGTTGATGACTTACGCACCTTCATGTCCTTGGACACTTTTCTGACACCTTCAGAGACAGCCACGCTGGAAGCCATGTTTCCCAAGAAGGAAGGAGAGCCAGAAAAGACAAGAGCTGCTCCTGCTGCTGCCAGAATCCGACTGCATGTGGCCTTTCCCAGCCCCTTCTGTTTAGTATCAGATTCTACTTTAATAAAGGAGAAGCTGCAGCTCAGGGCAACAGAAGTTAAGACAGGGATGAAGACGACCTAGCCACGCCTCTGCTGGAGCAGGAAAGTCATCAGGGAGAGACACAGGTCCGTGTGGGGAGGGGCCTGGTGGGCAGGGCTGGGCCAGTCTCCCACCTCCCCACATTGTGCTTATAGGACACAGACAGACACATGCAGATGCCCTTTGCAACAGAGAAGTTGGGTGGTCTTCAAGTCACAAAACCGAAGTTTGAACACATTTTGCATCACTCAGTCCTCCATAAGGGCAAGTAGCTCACCACGGGAAAGAATGTCATGAACAAAGCAGTTCACAAAGGTGATGACATTCTCAGCAGCCCACTGCGTGCTCAAAAATGTCCACATCGATCCACTCCCACACTTGGTCGTGTCCTGTCTGCCCCTTCCCTCTCTTCAGGCTTCCAGAGTTTCACTTTAAAAGCTGCTTGGGGCAAAACCAGAAAACAGAACCTGGTTAGAGTGCCCAGGAGATGAGACTAAAGGAACTATTATGGAGTGGGTGAGCTCCCCCATGGACTCCATCCACACTTTTCTAAGGGCCTTCCTACCCCACTTATATCCAGACTTAGTATTTCTCTCCTTCTCTACCTATAGGAAGAAAACATTTTGTGAGAGGCCAGGGAGGAGGCAGGAGCAAGATGTCCTGAGAACTGGCCTATCCTGGGCTCCAGGACAGGATTGGGGAACATGAGGAGAGAGCGCGTGTGGCAGCTGCGCCAGCCTCCTCCGTCCTTAGCAGGGACATTCCTTTTGACCTGCAGCTACTCAAGTGAGGTCCCCACAACCAAGTCATCAAGTTGAAATATTTGTCCTTCATTTGTCATACCAAGGAGTTTCATGCGCTTTACAAAAAGTGTCAGCAAACCCGGCTCTCAGCTGAGAAAGCGCATGTGTGTGGGATCATGCTTCGCAGTATCAAGGAGAAGTTAGACAAGAAACCTCAGACCTCATATGAGGTTTTCTCTGTCTGAGCACTTCTTCCTCCAAATCACAACTCCAGTGAGCACAGCCCCAAGGAGAACCAGGCCAGCAATAATGCCCATGGTGGCGATGGAGGACTGAGGAGGTGGCTCTGGAAGGGAAAAGAAGGTGAGACACTGACTTTCAGGCCTCAGCCCCCATCCTGCTGAAGGTCTCCAAAGGGTTCCGGATGCCCCTGAGAAGAGCCTCTGTGCCCATGACCCCCTCCTTACCCCATCTCAGGACTTGGGGCTCCAGCAGCTCCTCATGCTGCACATGGCACGTGTATCTCTGCTCCTCTCCAGAAGGCACCACCACAGCCGCCCACTTCTGGAAGGTTCCATCCCCCCCAGGCCTGGTCTCCACCAGCTCTGTGTCCTGGGTCAGGTCCTCCCCATCTCGCTGCCAGGTCAGGGTGATGTCCACAGGGTAGAAGCCCAGGGCCCAGCACCTCAGGGTGACCTCACGCTCAGAGGTGGGGTGGTGGGACACATGTGTCTTTGGGGGTTCTGAAGGGAAGATCAGAAGATTTATACTTGTGTTACTTTCTTGGGCTACTGAAGCAGCCTCATGTGACCATCCTGAGAATGGACAGGATAATTGCACTGGATGGAGAGAGGGCAAAACTGGAACACCAGCCTGGCCTTGCAGCACTGGGATAATCTCCTAATCCTTGGAAAGTTCTAGAATCAGGGTGCAACAGTTCGGGATACCAGGCTGCAGTGCTCTGAGGGAGAGACTTCTCATCTTGACCTGGATAAAGGCCCAAGTGACTCAGGAAAATTGGAGTCAGAATGGATGACCTCTGGGAACCAGATGTGAGCACGAAATACACGGTCCCCCAGACCACTGCCAGGATCAGAGAGAATCAGTTATTTCAGGACTGTTCCTCACATGGAGAGAGCGCATTCCTTAACTGACCCCAGGAAGGGCTGGCACTCTAGGGGTCACTTTCGAGGATCTGGACACCCAGGCAGACTCCTCACCCTTTGGGGCGTAGGAGGGTGGTATCTGGCCTTAAGCCCACTTTTCTTCCCTTTGCAGGACTCCAGCCTCGGCCCTAGGGGAGGCCCCAATGCAATTCTTACTTGCACGCAGTGTCTGGTTTTCATTGTTCAGTTGTCTTTGGAGCCAGTTGTCACACTGCCAGTCCCGGTGGAGAGTGTCCAAGGCATGTACAACAGGCTCCTCCCACTCATCCTCCAAGAGCTGAACCTCCATGCCCGCTTGGCGCAGCTCCTCCATCAGGGTGAGGTAATCAGTGCCATCGTAGGCGAATTGATAGAACCCGCTTACATGACCATCTCCTCTCACTTCACAGCCAGATCTTTTTTTTTTTTTTTAAAGATTTATTTATTTATTGATTGATTGATTTATACATACATTCATGCAAGCACTGGGTACAGTCAGAAGCGTAGGAGGGTGAGAGAATTCACCAGAGCCAAAGCGGTAAGCAGAGCAGGCAGAAGGACCGAAGTACACTGCTGAGGGGAGCAGCGGGTGGCAGGAGAGGTCTGCGCACCATGTGGGACCCTCCTCCGGTGGCCGGGGAGCAGCCGGGGATTGAACCGGCGCTGCAGAGGCTGAGGGACAGCTTCGCAACCCAGCGCTCAACCTCTGCGCCACCGGGGAGGCCCCACAGCCAGATCTTACCTGCAAAGTGTGAGACTCTGGCCCCACCCCCAAGGTCAGTCCCTTCCACTGAGCACCACCCCCATCCCCAGGCAAAGCACAACTGTTGCTGGTTTTTAATAAACTAAAACCGAAACCAAGTAAAAGTTTCAAGAACTCGCTGGGAAGCTCCGACCAGAGACTCGAGGGTAACCCTTGCCCGTACGAGGGGATGGCCGTTGTGACCTGTACACACCTGTTTCGCTCAGGTTGTAGTATAGCCGCAGGTTGTTTAACCTTACTCTGGAAATGTGTACGTGGCTCTTGACAATCTGCTTTTCGCTCTCCCAATACTCCGACCCCTCTAGCTCCATCCATGGCACCGTTGCCTCCATTTTGGGACTCGGGTCGTCGCTGTCAAACCGCAGGAACTGCGTGTCGTCCACATAGCCCACGACCACGAAGTGGGGCTCCCCGAGGCCAGGCCGGGAAATCGCGGTGTGCAAGTACATTAAGGAGTGGGAGCCTGGGGGAGGGGAGGGGCTGAGACCCTGACTCTCCTCTGGGCGCCAGTGCCTGGTCTGAGGATGAAGGGGCAGGGCAGAGGGAGAGAGCGAGGGGGCTCTTGAGACTGAAAATGGGCGACGGGGAGAAGGGCGGACACAGGAGTGGGTGGAAGGAGGAGCAGGATACTCAGGCCAAGGTGTGGGGTTTGGTGTGGCTTGAGGAGAGGGTGGTCGGGGTCTGTAGGTTCCGGGACGGTCCTGAGCCCCCGCGGGGCGGTTCCCTCCCTCCTCCCCGGCAGAAGAGGGTTTTCCTCCTGACTCTGCACTCACCTGCCCAGGTCTCAGTCAGCACCAGGGCCCCCGACAGCAGCAGGAGGAAGGTTGGGGGAGACATAGTCCGGATCCTCCTGGTCTAGGAGGAATCTAAACCTCAGTGCAGACTTTGCACCCGGAAGATCCGGTGAGGCTGTGTGGGGTAAATAAAAAGGAAAGCATCAGGCTTTGATGCTTCCTACCGGCCCTGCCTGCCCATTCTGCCAAGGGGCAGAGGACAGGGTGTGGAGTGCAGAGAGCAGCAGAGAACATGAAAATACCAACATGACTGCTTGAACTGGTGATGAACCCACCCCGTATAGGTTGTTTGCGCTGCATTTGGCATAGATAGCAGGGCGGTTTAAAGCAGGATGGGTTCGCTGCAGAGAGTATGGAACCCTTTGAAACCTGGGGAGTGATTGCGGGGTGGCCACCACGAGCATATGGTACTCAGGGGCCAGCCTCCTCTTCCAGTGGACGTCTTCCCAGGAATGGCCAGAGGTGGATGGATCCCCGGGGCAGGTGGAACAGGCCCTGTATGAAATAGAAGAGACCCTGGATAGATACAGTGCCTGCGAGGGGGCAGGGGCTGTGGGATGGGTGTTTCTCACAGCTCTGTGAGAGTCCAGGCAGAAAGAGAGATCCAGAGTCCAGCAAGCACAGGATGAGATGCAGAAACTGCAACAATGTTTGAGGATTCTGGAGGAAGAAGTTTGGAGAAACCAACCCACCATTCTGAAGACACCAAACACCTTCTCAGGAGAGGAGGAGAGGGAGACTGGCCCTTTACCTGAGTCTCAGCAGGTGGTGGCAAACCAACCTGCAACTCTGAGATGCCAGACTCCTCTGGAGAGGAGGAGGAGGCTGGTCCCAGGCTCCATGCCCACCCAGTGGTGACTCAGAAAATGAAACAACAGCGACCCATGGCCCCAGGGGGTGAGGCTGCTGGACCACCACCAATGATGGAATTTACTACATACCAACCTTACACCCAGGCAGAACTGGTGGACTTGGGCAAATAGTTCTGCCAGAAACCAGGGGAACCCTTGGCAGCCTGGCTGCTACACTTGTGGCCCTGGGAGTGGATGGGATTACTTGTACAGCACAAGAGATGGAGAGACTGGCCTCAGTGACTTTACACCTGTCCTTGAGACAGAGGCTGCAGAACAGCAGGTATTATGGCCAGGGGGATCATACCCTGCTGGAGTGGATAATGGCTGCCATATAAGCAATATGGGCTGATGCAGGAGATGTGCCAGAGACAGCGAGCTGATGGCAGATGTATGCTGAGCTGATACAGGTACTTCGGGAGCTGGGGGTGCGGCAGGACATGTTCAACGTGAATACCCGTGGTCCTGACGATGAGCATTTCACAGCAGGGATGAGAGGCTTGGTATTAAAAAGTGCCCCCTCATCCTTATTTGGATCCCTTCTAACACTCCATGTGGGACATCAAATACATGACGTCATGACAATGATAGCTAGCTTGGGTGAAGTGGAGAGCTGGCACTCTCAAACTCAGAAAGGACTACGGGTAATTGTTGAATAATCAAAAGGAATGCCAAGGAGGGCAAAGAAGCCTCTTAGTATTACAGAACCTGTTAAAGTTACCTCTAGACAAATATGGACATTTAGTGAGAGCAGGTGTAGATCGCACTAAAATACATGCAAAGCCCAATGCATACTTGTTAGAATTATGGGAGCAACTGCAAGAAGCCTAGAGGTTCACGCCCGTGAGAAGGACTGTTGCTACGGGAAAGCCTGGAAGCTCCAGGCCTCAGACACGCGCCCGGTGCTTGGAAGACCACTTGCTGCCAACCCTGTCCTCGGGTGATGGCCTGATCACTTTCGAGTAGGGTGAGGGCCAAGGAACCTGTCCACAGGGGACGGGTGGGGACCAGAGGCCACAGGTGGAGCTTGCCATCCACTGGTCCCTGACTAACGTGCAAAGAGTTTTGGCTTTGGTAGACAGAGGAGCAGATTGTACTCTGCTCTATGGAAATCCCGAAAAACTTCAAGGGTCTGCTTGTTACTTTGATGGCAATGGAGGCAGAGTGTCAAGGTGACAGCAGTGAGTTTGGTTGGGTAAGACAAAGGTTATCTCTGATGCTGTAATAGGTAAAGTACAAGCTTACCCCACTCCAACCACAGTGAAGCAGCTGCAAGACTTTCTGGGCCTGCTGGATTACTGGAGGGCATTTATACGCCACATGGCCCAGCTGCTGAGACCCTTGTATGTGTTGATACATAAGGGGGCATGTGGGATTGGTCAGCTGAGGCAGACACAGCATTTGCCATGGCCAAACGGCCTATAAAGACTGCTCGGGCTTTGCAGGGTTTTGACCAAGCCCGAGCCTGTGAGCTAGATGTGCATGTTACTCAGGAAGGGTTCGGGTGGGGACTCTGGCAGAAATCAGTGAGGCTACGACAGCCTATTGGGTTCTGTCCCAACTCTGGAAGGGGGATGAGATTAGGTATTCCTTAATTAGGGGGCTGAGATTAGGTATTCCTGAATTGAAAAACAGCTAGCTGCGGTATGTGCAGCCTCACTAGCTACTGAAAGCATAACTGCCACAGCTCCTGTCTTAGTGAGAACCACCTTCCCAATAGCCAGATGGGAACGGGACTGGATGACAAAGCCCCATAGTGGCACTGCTCAAATGCCCACTTTGGTGAAGTGGGGGGCGTGCCTAGAACAGTGCTGCACTCTGTCAGCTAGCCCCTTAAGGGTGGAGTTGCTGGAGGTTCTTGGTGCGGTGATGTATGTCAGTATGGAACCAACTTCAGAAGCCTGTGTAGAAGCCAAACCTGAAGTTAGTTCCTACAAGGAGGGACGAGCATCGATTCCAGAGGAGGCCTGGTATACAGATGGCTCCAACCCGGGCCAGCTAGCATCTTGGACAGCTGTGGCTGTACGCCCAGAAACAAACACTATTTGGTGTGAACCGGGGCAGGACAGAGCAGCCAGTGGGCTGAACTGTGAGCTGTATGGATGGTGGTGGCCCATGAGCCTTCCCCTCTAGTCATTTGTACTGACAGTTGGGCTCTGAGCATGGGCCTGACACCGTGGATTTCCACGTGGAATCTGAATGACTTGACAGTCATGCATCGGCCATTGTGGGGCCAGGCCCTGTGGAATGATCTATGGGATCTGGGGCATCAGAAGCAGGTGACTGTTCATCATGTCACAGGACATGCCCCATTGGCCTTTCCAGGAAACGATGAAGCAGATGCCCTAGTCTTGGTTCGATGGCTTGAAACTGCTCCGGGGCGGGATGTTGCACAGTGGCTGCACAGACGCTTGCTCCACGCAGGGCAGAAGACAATATGGGCCACTGTGCGTGTCTGGGGTCTACCTGTAATTTTAGAGGAGGCTCAGACTGTTTGTGAACAATGTGTAGTGTGTTCCAGGACTTACCCCTGGAGACCTTTTGCATCCACAGACCAAGTGCTGCAGGGCAGGTGCGACTGACACGCTAGCAGATTGAAATCATTGGACCACTACTCGCTCCGACAACAGTATGCGGCCACCTGTGTGGACACGTCTACCGGTTATTGGCAGCTTATCCTGCTCTACATGCGAACCATAATGCAGTTTTGGCAGCACTGGCACGCCTATGTGCTGCATATGGACGTCTGCTGGTAGTGGAGAGCGACCAAGGGACTCATTTTACAGGATCCCGGGTGCAGCAGTGGGCCAAGGACATGGGTGTCGAATGGAAGTTTCACATTCCCTATAATCCCAAAAGCTGCTTGGATCACAGAGAACAGCTCTGTGCCATCCTGGCACTACACACAGACAGTTGTATAAGGAATTAGATTAGAACTGGGCGTGTACAGGGTGAAGGACTTGGCACAGCATGTGATAGGCAAAGCGAGAACATTCCCTTTGTTTGGCTCCCCACCAAAATGCTGCATGGAGGCCTGAAACCCCAAGAACCATGCCTGAGAACTGGAACTTCGTCCTGACTCTTCAGCAATTGGCTCTTAGCTCTGGTGTCTTTCCTTCTGCATTCAGTAGTGTTTCTCTCACACTGTCCCTCTGCGTTCCAGGGCTGTTTAAATCAGCAATTCTCAAAATTGGGTCTTCTTAATGACTCTATACACTCTTTACAGATGAATGAGGATCCCAGAGACAATTTTGTGGGTTGTATCTACCAATATTCGCCATAATGTAAATTGAAAGTT